TCACTCTATTGCTCCGTTTCGCTCCGACCGCAACCAGCGGTAATCGGACCCGACGGAGTCAATCGAGAGGCGGCAAAAAGTGCATCGGCGCTCGTCGTCTTTGTGCGTTAGCTAAACTAATCAAGCACGGCCCCATGATCCTGCGTTTTTTGTTTTCCTCTGCGTGATTGGTTTAGCCAGTGATGGCGAACTCAGCAAGACAAGGAGCGCCCGTGACGATGCACTTTTGGCGCTCCTTGATTGGCTCCCGAGGATCCTATGCGGAGAGCAAGTCGAGCAAGTCGTCTGCTTCTGGCGCAGGAGTTGCGGTGACGTCAGAACGACGCCGGACTTTTATTGACCGACTGAAAAAAAAAATAGTAGGTAGATCTCAATGTTAGACGCTTTAAAGTCTACCCAACATTTTTTTTTTTAATCAGCCAATCAGAGCTCGGCGTCGTTTTGAAGTTACCGCAACTCCTGCGCAGGAAGCAGACGACTCGCTCTCCACATAGCGCCGATTGCGGTCGGACGCAATGTGAAACGGAAGAAACTCGACGATTGACGTTGACGGGCTCTTCCAGACTTCCCTGGACGACTGGGAAGACGTCCCTTCGGCGTCGGGCAGCACGCGCGAAAGCGACGAGAGCTGGGGGCCCGAAGGGTACGGCCCCGGCGACGCCAGAGAAGCCGCAGCCCTCGGGAGAGGGGCGCCGCAGGCAACTCAGCCCGGGTTCGGAACGCTGAGGAAGCACAACTCGACGCACGCCTTCGCGGGTCACCCGAGGTAAGGGAACGGGTAGAGCCGAACGGGCACGATCGAGGTCGCATCCGGCTTCCAGAGTCGGAATCGCGACACATCAAAGGCTATATAGAGAACGGGCATTCCAGAACACAAACCGAAAACTTGGCAGGAATTAAAAAACAAGTAAAAATTATGGCACTTTATTTGCGAGTAAAAAACACAAGAACGAAACAAGTCACCATGGGAAATGTTGGCAATTTTTTCCTGTTTCGTTTTTTGTCTGATTTTCGGTTCGTTTTCCGGATGTGTGTTTCATGCCTTACTCCAAGAACAAAACGACCAAACTAAATCGAGTAAATTCGCATAGCAAAGAGTACAGAAAACAAAGATGTTAAAGGCCCACTGACAACCCCAAAATTGGCGTTTTCTCTTATTGTTTCAAACGTTTCGGAAGCGTGTAAAAGAACACACACAAAATAATAATAATAATAATAATAAAAATTGGAGCGCGAAAGAGCTTGTCAAAGTTTTTGTCCTCCTCTTCGAATTTCAACTCCACGCTTCTTTTTCTTTTTTTTTTGACGCAATTCTCGAAGACAATAAATAAAGAACGTTAAAAGGTGTGGCAAGTTGCATATCTGTAATAGATATTATTGTCATTCCTAAAATACGCTTTTTTACCACGACTCTATGTCAGCGGTGTAGTCTCTAAAGAGACTACACCGCTGACATAGAAAAAAAAATCATAGACCAGAAGTGTTAACCACGAAACATCGGCAGACTTCCCAGCGTTTTCTTCATATACTCTCAATACGGCGTAGTGCCGGAAAGTTCGTCGGAGCGTACGCAGATTTGAGTTGAGGTCAGAATGCAACTCCCAACGATTCGGATACATTAAGGCTTTTCTCAGCCCTTGTCAACAGAGTGGCGACAACAGATCAGGGAGTTCTAGACTAGCCCTTCTTCGGGGATTGCAGTCAACTGCGCATCATTTTGCGCTTCATCTTTTAGAAAACTTGTGTAGCACGGCACTGTTAGATTTGGTTGTACTGGGGTAGAACATCACGCAGCAATTTTGCGACATCGCCCCTCACGTTGCTCACCAAAGACTGCTACACGTCGTTTTCTTCCTTACCTTTTTAAAATTCGTTTTAAACCAACTAGCACTGTTTAAAAAAAAGGGAGGGGGGGGGGGGGAAAGAATTGGAAAGTAGCACGCCGTCTGCTCGCGAAGAAAAGTCTTGCGAAAGACTCTTGCGGTTGGCCGGGTGTCACGTGCGCGTGCCCATGAACGATGGAAGGGAAAGAGAGATAGTTAAACGACACTTCCTGTTTGAAATCATACAAGAAGACAAGGAGTCCAAGATTTTGCTAACTACTTAATAGATTCGAGTGGGCGTTTCAAATCAAGCTTTCTGAAACTATCTTAATTAAGAAATGAAACCTTGAGACAAGGAAACAAAAGAGATATGGATACCACCGTCACAAAATCAGCACAGCATACAGCTAGCTGCCATTTACTTCCACAACAGTCTTCTTCTTTGTCATCTTCCATCCAAATTATACAAATTCAACAGGAGGCACTCTCTCCACACTAAGAAAACGTCGAGCACACAAACTGAATCTTCTTGCTTGTCGTCTTTTTCTTTCTTGTCGTATTGCAATTAATACATGTCCTAACGGCAGGCACACACAAACCACCGAAAAACCATGAATATTAGGGAGTTTTCGTAGATCGTTTCCGCTGTCCCGCAACGCCCTCCGCAACCAGCTACGCTAGCCGGAACTCTGCAGTCAAGGCCATCGGCGCGCCGGCGCAGTAGCGGCTGCTTCGTTGCGGAGGGCTTAGCGGAGGGGGAAACGCGGTCTACGAAAACTCCCTATTGACCACAAGTTGTGGGATTTCCCTTGCTGCTACCCGTCTCGGAGAATGACACAGCACACCGGTTCAACAACACGTAAACATTTAATGAGCGCTATCGCCTGCGCCGCGATCCCAACCGCCCCCGCGCATCCGCTGCGACGGCCTTTTATCAACGGCGGAGCGCGGCTCGCGTGGCCAGTTGCCCTTGGCCCCCTCGTGGTCAAGATGACCACTTATGATTGTCGGAGGGGCAGCCTGGGCCAACCGCTTGGAATCGCCAGGTAGCCCACAAGGTCTAAAGACAGTTGTGAAATGGCAATTGCTCACAGTAGAAAAATATTAAAAAAAAAAAAAATACCCGAGTCAAACCTACTTGGGACTAAACAGACAAAACTCCTTTAGTGTCATCGTCCAATGTTAAAGAGGGCATGTTTATACAATTTCCGACTCATGTGATCCTAATTGTCTCCTTAATCACCTTTTTAAACTGATTTTTTTCGTTGCCAAGCGCAGTCTTCTGCTTCCAATCTGGGTAACAATTTCCGCATTCACTTAGGGGTTTTACAATTTCAGAACTGGCTGGAGAAGAATTAACCGCGTTTTTGTGCTCTTATAATCGGTCGTTTAGGTAGCGGCCAGTTTGACCCACGTACGAGAACCCACAGACCATTGGTATCGCATATATACTGCCATCTCACAAGTGATTGCGGCTTCTTTATGTTTTTTTTTCATCCTTGCTTATCTTTCGAAAAAGTAGTTAGCCTACTTATTTTGAAGTTATTTTTAAAAAGAACTAGTACACCATGACTTTCTGACAATGCCTTCAGGTTGTGTGAGGCACCATGAAAGAAGGGTACGCATACCCACTTATCAGGCTTCTTCTTTGGCTCTATGATTTTGCCTAAATTAACCAGAACAAGTTTCAACACACCTAATTGAACACTTAAATTATACCCTAAGGGACCCAACCTCAACATACAAGTGCGTATACGTGCCCTTCTTTCACGATGTCTCACACAACCTAAAGGCATTGGCAGAGAGTCATGGTGTACCAGTTCTTTTTAAAAATAATTTCAAATTAAGTAGGCTAACTCCTTTTTGGGAAGATAAGCAAGGTTGAAAACAAAAAAAAAGCATAAAGAAGCTGCAATTACTTGTGAGATGGCAGTATATATGAGATACCAATGGGCTGTGAGTTCTCGTACGTGGGTCCAACGGACCGCTGCCTGAACGACCGAATATTGGAGCACAAAAGAGCGGTTAATTCTTCTTCTGCCAGTTCTGCAATTGTAAAACACCTAAGTGAATGCGGAAATCGTTGCCTAGATTGGAAGCAAACGACTGCGCTTGGCAAAGAAAAAGGTCAGTTTAAAAGGGTGGTTAAGGAGACAATTAGGATCACGAGCGCCGGAAATTGTATAAGCATGCGCTCTTTAACATTGGTCGATGACACAAAAGCATTTTTGTCGTACCGCATCGGATGTCTAAAAACTGTTCACTAAAACTCTCACGCATTTCCCCCTCCGCTAAGCCGTCCGCAACGAAGAAGCCGCTCCTGCGCCTGAGCGTCGATGACTGTAGAGTACCTGGCGTCGTAGAAGGGCTGCGGAGAACGTTGAGGGACGGCTAAAAAACGGTCTACGAAAACTCCCTAACGCCTCGGAGGACGTTCGGTGTCTTGCTCGGGCCCAACTGCTGTGTTGACGCCATCCTGGTGCAATGACGTTACGTGGAAGCAGAGGAAGCTGTTCAGAGGCTTTGATTATCCTAGGGTGTGTTGGCTGAGTGCGCACCGCAGGCCCCAGTGACTGGCCCACCGCCTGCTGCGAGAGAAAGTGGAGGGCGGGCATTTTAGTCACACTGCTCGTACATCATACAAAAGACGGTCTGCAGTCACTGACTGAGGCCTTCCTTCTAGGACGGTCTTGTAGCATTTGTCATGCAACAAACCGTCTGCGGACATTTTCGAAGCACACATGAAGTAGTCATGCTTCGAACTTGTTTGAGGCGTGTCCCCGTCGTCATGTCTGCGGCGAACACGCTCCATTCTGCATGGTGTATGACTCATAAGGGCCGCCCACACTAGCGAGAAAACGCGCCCGGCGCGCCGATAAATCGGTTAAGCGGGAAGATAAAGGGCGTGTCTCTGCACGCGCTCGTGGCGCTGACTGTGCTTCGGCGACATTTTGTTACTTGCCGCGATCGGCGTGCCACGCGCGTTTTCTCGCTAGTGTGGGCGGCCCTATACGCAGCGCGACGGCGGCTTTCTAGCGCAGTCGCGGGGTGCAAATCGCGGCCATCGTGCAGCGAGTGCTTAGCTCTACGAATGTTTCCACTCGCCCCGACAGTGCAACCGTCTGTTGCAGCGGGGACGGAGGGCCGCTCGGCCGTCCCATGCAGCAGAGCAGCAGCATGAGCGACCTGCACCACACGACGGTCCAGGGACTGCCGCCTCAGCAGATTCTTCAGGGCTACCCGCAGCACTTCGGCCCCGCCTTCGGACCGGCTTTCGGACCCACGTACCGGACGCCTCCGGCCTTCGGGTATCCGATTCCGTACGCCATGGCTCCGGGCGCCCAGCTGCAGTACTACCGGAGCCCCGCAGCCTTCCTGGGATCGACGGGCTCGTGGAGCAACGTCAACTCGGCGGCCGAGGACGGCAAGGAGACAGACGACGAGACGCACAAGTCGCAACGCCATTCCACGCTTGATAGTCGCCGGATCAAGCGCAGCCAGAGCTGCATGCACGACCCCATCGTGCATCCTGGTAGGTGCATGGCGACGCCGCACTCTCCGGACGACGCACTCTAAAAACGTCTCTGAATTCGCTTCCCTTCATAACACGGAGACAGCGAATCACGGCGAACTATAGAAGGATCCCAGCGAATGACAAAAACTCCGAATACAAAAAAAAAAAAAAGCAAAAACACACACAAAAGAACACGTGCGCAGAATTCGTCCCTGTGAACTTGGCATTTTGATTCTAATTTTATTCTGAGCCTTTGTCATTCGCTGAGATTCTTCTAAGCTAAATGAACTTAAACCCCTGACGGGCACATTAAAGGCCTTCAGAGCGGACACCTTTAAAGAATCGGCGAATCAGCTTACGATTTCTCGCTTATCGCCATGCGATGGTTCGCCGACTTTTTAAAAAAGTTTGTTCTGAAGGCCTTTACGTGCCCGTCTGACAAAGGTATTACGCAATTTTTATTTTTATAGTGCAAGCGCTCGATCAGCATACAGTTTTGAAGTTAAAAAAGAGAAATAAATGGGGAAAGGGATAGCGTAGAACTGCCCAATAATGTCAGCCCGTCTACTCTGTCATAGACGCATAGTGCACGCGGAGAGCCAAACTGAACGCGAACGACGGGGCCAGAGATTGCCGTGAACGAGAAATGCGATGTGCGCTGGAACATCGAGCATGATGATCTGTGTGCAAGCGCAATGCGTTAAAGAAACAAAACAAACATGTGCTTTTGATTTTTTTTTTGTGTGTGTGATCTTCAGAGTGGTCCTTATGAACCCATGTACAGTCGGCCGTAAAAAAGACTGACACAAGTGATTCGTGGCCGGTGCGGTCAAACCGCCACACGCGGCGCTATATTTCGCTATAACACGGGGAACGAGAGTGGCCGGAACGTTCCCACCTTTGAATCGCAGGGGTGCTTCGAGAGAGATAAAGTTATCGTTTGTAGCAATTTCGTTTTTTTTTTTTTTTTTTTTTTTTTTTTACGTGCGGCTTGCTTTTGAGGGTGACGAGTCACGCGTGAGACGACGCTTTTTTTCGTTGTAATAAACAAAGTCTTCGCAGTGATATTTATTTTAATTGCTGTTTCAACATTGTGCGTAGAAGACGAGAGTATTTTCCTTATAAAAATGCGAATCTGTCAAATCGCGGCACAATCGATAAGAGAAAGTATAGAAAGCTGTAAAAAAAAAAAAGTCTGAACTTGATCACAGCGTGATGTGATGTGATGAAAAAGAGGATAGCTCTGTTCTCACCGAGCGAGCAAGAACAGAACACATGTGCGCAGTCACGCTGTGTTGTTTCGAAAGTGCGCTTTCGGAAGGGCTCCGGTGTGTCGACGTCCCCCGTGCATCCAAGAGTGGACTAATCCGGCAATCGCGACCCCAGCGTGCTTACGCTATCGAAGCGCCCCGTGTCGCCTCGCCGGCCAGGCCATCGCTCCCTTGTGTCAATTTTGTTTACGGCCGACTGTACACCCCATTATACAATGGCCGCGCGTTCATACTTTCCCGCAGATCACTCGGAAAGCCAATCACCGCGACCAACGGAAAGCTCGACGAATGACGAGGCCAGTAAACGTTTAGCTGAAAATAAGGTCTGCGTTGTGGCATTGAGCACGATGTCACGAATACGCAAATCATCGTGACTTTGTTTCGCATATTTTATTTTTAGATACAAACCTTTTTCGGTTTCTTCGTAGATCGCAGTGGTTCGCACTCCTAATAATCCTAAATTCTAAAAAAAAAAAAAAAAACCTTGCGTCATTTTTGTTTTAGCGCACGTGGTGGGCCTATCACCGAATGAAGAGCAACAGGAATTGACGTGGATAAGCATGAATCGTATGGTAGCGATGACTCTACCGAACTGGGAGATAGATTCGGCGTGTTTTCTACCCACACTCTGAGAAAAACGTCTCTCTGCTCACTTCCTTGCAGGTATACGCAGGTAACCAATCACTGTAAACAACGAAAGAATCCTATGAATAACAAAAGCCAAGAATGTGATTACGTCTGAATTATGCGACGTGCATTGGTCTAACGAGCGTGTGAAACGCCGTGCTCATTATCACCGCGCACATTTCGTTTTTTCAGGTTCAATGGTGTTCCGAGCTTAGTCATGCGGTGCTATCTGTTGTTATATATATATATATATATATATATATATATATAATGCGCTTTTGATAAAGAGTGCACCCTCTTTATTAACATCCTCTTCTGGGACGGGTAAAACGGCCAGGCCCGTTTTATCCGTTCGGGTATCCGCAGTACCCGCCTTTCTTCCCGCCTTGGATGCGACCGCCGTCGGGGCCGCCGTCACCGTCCCCGTCGCAGCAGTCGCTGCCCGTGGCGGAGCAGAGCGAGCGGCTACCGAGGCGCCCGGACGAGCCACGACCACACCACCGAAAACATAAGAAGAACATCGGAAAGACCTCGCGGCGCCAGTCGTCGCAAGATCTCTCATCCGAAGAGCAGGACAACGAAGGCGCCCTGTCCTCAGCCTCCAACACGGAGTACAACCAGGGTAAATGTTCTTCAGTATCTCGAAGAAGGACGAGGCAATTAGGCTAACCGGAGGGGTTCTGGCCGAAACGCCTCCACACAAGTGAGACTCTCGAAAGGGTGCTTCTGCTGCTCCTTTTCTCCCCACGCTGCTAACGTTGGGCATTTCCAGTGTTCTGAGACATGTTATTGAGAGAACACAGAAGGCATCGACGCGAGCTATCACGCGAAACATGTAAGTGAACGTGTGATTCCGTAAAGAGATAAATCGCATTTGCGAAACACACAAGCGTTGCAATAGCTCTGTCTCTGTGTACGTATCGTGTCTGCATTAACACGGACGTCTTGCCGAAAGACACCGAGTCTGCATTAATTAGCCTGAGTCAATGTCCCGCATGTCTCTGGAAAGACGTCTAGACTTCCTTTGTTCCTTTCAACAAACATTTCTTTGAAAAGCGGAAGAATACCATCAAACGCTAGAAGCGTGGGCACCCATTGATCGGAGTCACCTTCTAAATCATGAATCTCGCTACGCGTATAGCCTTTCGTGTGTATAAGATTCTGACTGCGCAGTTGATCTCCATTTGACACGACCAAACACCGAATACAGGTTCTCAGGGTCGCCAGCGGCCCGCATAAACTATAAACATCCAATCCTGATTCTTCCCGTTACTGCATGATACGCGGGGAATTTTTTTTACTAAAAACCTACGTTATACACTAAAAAGGACTCTTGTTACATATAACCAAATACGGTATTTGATATAACTGTTTGGGGTAAGCTTGTTGGCCGCGGTGGACACCGGGGCACAATTGTAGCGCGATAATTTTGCATTTAATTAATTAACTAGAATTCACTACTGAACTTTCTAAGCAGGTGTGGTGTGCATCTGACGCAAGATATATTGTGGGATTCTTAAATTGGTTCGCGTCTGCTCGCTGACTGCAGGCTCTGACGCTTCTTCAAAACGAGGTTTTCGGCACTTTTTTTTTTTTACTTTCAACTTAGATGTTTATTTACATAGAGCCATTGTTCTCGAGGTGTGACAAGTGAATGGCTGTATGGATAAAAAACCGAGGTTCCGCAGTAAACGTAGCCGTTCTCTCAAATATTCCAGATTCGTCTACCGTCAAAACGAAGAGTAGAGCGAGAACGGGTAGCCTGCCCCAAGCCAACATCCCTGCAGCCGCCGTCGAACGAGAGCCAAACAGGACGTCGACGACACCTTCACGCAAGGAAGCTACCGTCGCCGCCGCCACTAACTTCCCCAGAATCGAACATTCCGAAACGAACGACAGGCTGGAGTCGCGCCTCAACGGGAACGCCAGCGAATGTCCGAAGCCCACCGTCGCCTCGCAGGCATCCGGAGACGGCAACCAGGCGACTCAGGGAACCAAGTCAACGCACACTCCAGAAGCCGAAAGACCCAAGTGGGATCCGACAAAAGCGTGGCGATGCGAGCACTGCACCTTCATCAACGAACCGGGGTCCAGGATCTGCCTGATCTGCTGCAAGACCACCTTCAGGGAAGAGTCGCCTGCGCCTGCGTCGGATGACGAGTCACAACGTCAGAAGAAGAGGGCCGACTTTCAGGACACACTCGCGGACAAAGACATCGAAGTGGTCACGAACGGGACAGCGGCTGGACCCGCGTCAGTGCAAGGGACTGAACAGAAGCTTCAGCAGAGGACGGAGCCGGTGTCGACGGAAGGAAAGAGCGCAGATAGTCAGACACCCTTCAGCGACGACTTTATCAAGGAGCAGCAGGAGGTAGAAAAGGTAAGGCATAGTTCTGAACTATACCTCTTTTTATTCGCTGCTATGATTTATCGATATAAGCAGTGATCCCTTTTATATATGCTTTGTTATGCGAATCGCATGTGAAAACACCTACCGCCCTGAGGTGAAGGGTATGACACGATGGCCACGTAGTCGGGTTCGTATATGTATTTCAGCTGACTGCGTAGCCTGTTCGTAGGATGCAAAGTTGAAACTCGAACGTAGCCTGTTCGTGACATAAAGACTGCAAACCTCTAACCTGACTAACCCGGCTACCACTATGTTCTTCATTACAATTTTGAACGCTCATTATAATAATTATATAGTATGGAACACACGTGCCAAAAACCAACCGAAACTCAGACGGAAATCAGAACACGAAAAATCTGCTTCATGCACGGGTGTACGAGTCAAAACAGCTTTACATATATGATGTCGTTAGGGGGTGGTTATGATGCCGTCGTTTTTCGTTTTGCCATCGGTTCTCTTTTGACGAACAGAATAAAAACGATACACTTCTTGTTTGCCCAGCTTCATGCTTTTAGGCGCTGTCCGAGACTGTGATCACCGAGAGTTTCAGAGCCTTGTGGCATGTGTAGCCAGCATTGTTGATCTTATTATCACTGGTTAACTTATAATGTCACCGTGCCGCCGCCCTAGAAAAAAAAAACAAAAAACATAGCACCAATTGCGAAGCTCACAACATTATTATCCCCAGCCAGTCCAGGGTGTCGAACCGAAACCGAACCGAACTCTTCGTCGCCATCTTGGAACTGAACCGGAACAAAACCGGAATATAACGGAAAGCGGTTCAAAACGGTTCATGGTATTATTTTTGTGTGTGAATATCACAAACTAGATATTTGAGAATAAATAATTGGCAGTTCTATTTCTCTGTGTTATCAAATTACCATATACAGAATTGCAATGTTTGAGCAACAATGGTTTTCGTGGAACTTTTGTGTTGGCACCATGCACTCTAAAAAAAAAAAAAAAAAAAAACGCCCGTGCGTCTACTTTTCCGCACAACACTCAGAGAGCCAATGACCGCAACTTACGGAGGCAGCTCAGCGAATGACGATGCTGAAACCTATGTTTAGACCAAAAAACACAGTCTGAGTTGTGACATTAAGCAATGCAAGCGTGACGTTTTGCACTGCTTAATAGCACAAGTCAGACTGCGTTTTTTGGTCTAAATATATGTTTCGGCATCGTCATTCGCTGAGCTGCCTCCGTAAGTTGCGGTGATTGGCTCTCCGAGTGTTGTGCGGGAAAGTAGACGCACGAGCTTTTATTAGAGTGAAATTAATCACGTGTAACCTGTTCACGTGACGTCATGGTGTCAAGACATGATGCCAAATAATGTCACGTCACGAGGCCCCGTGATGTCACGTGACGTGACTCACTGAGTCAAGTCGATATAAATTGATAACGTCACTCGGTTTATTAGCTTTTTTTACACCGTGACGTTATATGACATCACGAGTTCGCACCGCGAGTTACCCGACACCGTGACGTATTTGATTATCATGAACCCGAACTGAGTGTTTGGGTTCATAACAATCAGCATCGCCTCACTTTCGGATATTAAATCGGGTTCAATCAAATATGAGCATAGCCGAACTCTAACAATGTCTGACGCTCAGTCCATGCTCTATGCTTTGCCATCCCCAGCGTATGACTATGATGAACACTGACGGTATAAAATTAGTGCCAGATTACGTGACCGCTTGTTCTATTTGCGAGTTGAGGGGAAAGCTTTTTCTTTCCTTTATTGTTTTTTCTGCGTCTGCTATTGCGCGGAGAGGAAAACTAATGGGTGATTTTGCAAGTTATCAATATCAGGGATTACTTCTTAGCAGTATTTACTGAAAGTACAAAAATGGTTGTACAACCAATTTTAAATGAGGCACCCAAACGTTTTCGTTGTCACTGAACTGCCTCAGAAATTTCCCTCAGAAAATAAGAACATTGGAAGGGCTAAATGTGATTTATGAATCCGAAGTTACATAGAACTACATGTCTGTACGGGAGGGATACCTGAAAAGAAAGATCCTAGTGGCCTCAGAGGGACAGCCGAACGTTGACAGCCGTTCTAAGCCTCAGAGGAGTGTCGTTCTCAAGTTCTCCCCCAAGCTTCTATCACCTCCGCATTTTGTTTAAACTTCACAGTCTTTGGGTGCAAAATAAAAGCAATGGAGCATTACTGTTAACATGTGACACAAATATAATTGTCGAATTAACATCCACAGATTGAGGACGGAGTCCCCAAGAAATAAAAGATAGTATTCTTTGGAGCAGTGGTTCTCAAATGGGGGTCCGCGGACCCTTTGGGGTCCGCGAAGCCCTGACTGATCAGTCAAGCCCGGCAATAAATTTTTTTTTTTTAGGTCGAAAAGAAATGTTTTAGTTTTCGGGCGAGTTCTTTCGTGTGAACGTGAATAAGAGAGGTCTATTTCACACTAGCCCTTAGTTATATCCATTTATTAAATCATTATATTTAACCTATAACTTTCCTCTCCACTCACCACGAACGGGGTCCTCCAACAACTCCGCCGATCCACAAGGGGTCCGCGAAACATTGATGGTTGAGAACCACTGCTCTGGAGTAACAGCAAAAAATGAAAAAGGGGGGGAAGGGGGAGTAGTTCTAAAAACATACTGTGTTGTGAAGGTTCCTCTGCCTCGCATCTTCGGCATAGAACAGAAAGCGTGGCCCCGGAAACTACTCTGTTTGCAGAAACACTTTTGCCAGAAAGCGCCTTTTTCGTGGTACTAGACGCTCGCGCCGTTCCTCGCAGCGCCACCAAGCAAGAATAACTTGTATCTCCCGAATACATTACTTGCACTAAGCGCGAACCTTCTGCAGCGTGCATTTTGCACAACCGGATTGGATTTTCTCGGCAAGAACAAATCGCAATGACAAAAACCACGTTAAACAGTTCAGTTTCCTGGTGAAATGCGATGTTAGTAAAACTAGCAAAAGTACAGGGTGCCTCAAATAGCGGCCAGGCTCTTTAAATCGACCGCAAAAGTCGGTTTCGTAATCTATCGCGCTACGAGTTTGTGCAGCGTTGCCCACAGGTGGTGTATTTCTTCTCTAAAATATTTAAAGAGCGAACTTACCCGAGAAGAAAGTACAGGGTGATTCAAGGAGAGGCCAGGCTCTTTAAATCGACCGCAAAATACGGTTTCTTAACCTATCGCGCTACGACTTTGTGCAGCGTTGCCCACAGATGTTGTATTTTTTTTTTTTTTGTAAAATTTGCAAAGAGCGAACATACCTGAGGAAAAAGTAAAGAAAGAAAAAGGCTTAGCTCCTATGGAAACGCAGCGAAGCCACCGGTCTTCAAACAACACGGCGCCGTTTCGCCCGGGGGACAAGAGATGGCGCAAACGGTCGCGACACCAACTGCCGCCAACGAACGAGCATACGACGCCGAGAGCCGGCGTCTTTAGCAGACAAAGAACTGCAGTTTCTTGTTGTTACCGCGCCTGTTTTTGTTTCTGCAACTGTCGCCGCCCGCGGGACGCGCGCTGCTTTTGAGTCGAAGAAATGTTCGTCTGCTAAAGACGCCGGCTCTCGGCGCCGTATTACAGTGGCTTAAAGGGGGTAGTGTAGTTACCGCGTAGCCTCCACCATGCATCGGGAACGGCCGCTCCTTGGAAGACGGTGGAGGTGGCGCTTCGATCTGTCGCACCGTTAGGGTGCCTCCATCGGCCGGCAGATAGAGGCACCCTAACGCGCTTCATAACAAATATAAATGCCTCAAAAACAATTATTTGTTTCCAGTGAACTTCCAACAACATGATTTGTGTTCGTAGGTGAATAAAAATGTGAAACTAGCAGACGACAGTGTAGTCGACAGCTGCGAATCGGCCAGAGCCACTGATCTCTATGACAATTGCTGGATCGCGTTTGCCCGCTCCGCGAATGCGGTCACTGGCGGCCATCTTTAGGTAGAGTTATATCACCTCTAGCCAATGTAAGCTGCTGCAGCCGCTATCATCCATCCATGGCAGATAGCGTTTTGGCAGGTGGGTTGGTCAAAATAGCGTGGGTGATATTGCGTGCTTGATTAAAATTATTTGACGAAACATGTTTTTGAAACACGGCGTGAACAGTAGTCCGGTTTTTGAGGAAATGGTAAAAGTTTCACAAAATCGCAGCACCGGGAGAAAAGCAGCACAGCACGTATCGAAAGTCGCATCAAAAGAAGCATCGAAAGCAGACGACGGTACGGAGTCTGCTTTTGATGCGAGCTGCGCTGCTTTCCCCCGGTGCTGCGCTTTCGTAGAACTTTTGCCGGGTCCTCAAAGATGAGGCTATCGATCACGCCGGGTTTCAAGAATCTGCTTCGTCGAACAACTTCAATCAAGCACGAAATGTCACCCACGGTACAGTGTACTAGATCTACGGCTATTTTATGGCAGCCTGCCGCCATTGCGCTGTCCGCCATATTACTATGATGGCTAGAGGTGATATAACTCTACCTAAAGATGGCCGCCAGTGACCGCATTCCGGTCCATAGGAGGAGCTGGTCAAACGCGATCCAGCAAATAGACATAGAGATCAGTGGCCAGAGCTGGCCGGAGCTGGCCGGAGCCAAGCTAGCCCAGCGGCGAAGCCGGAGCCATAGCCGGACCGACGGTGCTGCAAGCGCCAGCGCCACCCGCGGCCGTCTTCGAACGCTGTGCCGCTTCTCCGGTTTCGTTCGTTACACTACCCCCTTTAAGCCACTGCAGCCGTATGCTCGTTCGTTGGCGGCGTTCGTTGCGCCATCTCTTGTCTCCCGTGCAAAACGGCGCCGTGTTGTTTGAAGACCGGTGGCGTCGCAGCGTTTCCATAGGAGCTAAGCCTTTTTCTCTCTTTACTTTTTCCTCAGGCAAGTTCGCTCTTCGCAAATTTTACAAAAAAAAAAAAAAAAAAAAAGCACCATCTGTGGGCAACGCTGCACAAAGTCGTAGCGCGATAGGTGAAGAAACCGAATTTTGCGGTC